CTAATGTTGCATTCCCCCCCCCCCCACTTGTACACCATTATATTTCAAAAGAGTGGTGACTAAAGGTGAGTTAAGAGACTACTTATTTGACAATAGATTTTTCAGGTAGAAGTCTTCTAATATATTTCCCTAAACCAGAAGACCGAATTTTCTCAGTAGTTCTATCCAGCAACTTTATTTCGTCTTTTATGTATAGGTCTCTAGGTAGTATAACTGGTTGTGCCTTAAGAGTTGTTTAGAAGACCAGAGGGAGGGTGGGGAAATCTCATCTAAAAGATCAATAGATATATTAGAAAATCAGTAATGCAAGAGAATCATTAATGGTTAAGGCTTGGTGTTGAGCATTCTCAGTGTGACAAGGATGTTCTTACCTTGTAGAAAGAGTTCAAGCTGTGTGCTATCAATTGATACAACTATAGTGATATCAGTGAAGTGGTGGAGCCAAGCCCACTCGAGTTGACTTCAGCATAGTGCCAGGATAGCCATGGTGCAGTACACAAATATTGGTAAGTTTACAGCTCCTCTCTTCAGGAGCCTCTACGGTTTAACAGGAGCAAAGAGTTTTCTTGGTTATCTCAGCTATTAAAATGTGTTCATGACTGCAGATGATATAAAATGTTAGCTTGCCACCTCAGTTTACTTACAGTAAGTATTCTGAGTAATTTCCCACAACAATCTGGTTAGCTTTGCATGCTTTGAGTAGCTCAACTGGTAAAATTTACACTTCTGTAGTGTAGCTGAGAAGCAGTTCATGCTCCTTTGCATGCTCTGACCCAACAGGGCATCTGATTTGCTAATAAGAGAAGAAACTGTCAATTATGCTGAAAGTATTTTTTATTACAGCTGTTAACATGCTATTAGGAGTAGGGAAAATACCTGTAGTAGTAACCAGTAGAATGCTAATAATTTAAACATGGTAAAACTGGAGTTACTACATTCTGTCATTTGGAAGAACAAACAATTTTAGCATTGCTGTACAGTAACTAGTAATATTACTATATTGTATCTTAAGGAGGGGAGGATTTGTCTATCCTCTTGGCTATTAATTCTCTAAAACAGGTTAAATACTTCTGCAACAGTGGTAGTAACTGAAGGAAGCTGTACTACAAGTGTCAGCTGTGTTTTCCAGCAAATGTAGTCCGCAGTCATGTTGGCGGATGGGGCAGTAATTAACAGGAGGGTGTAAACCACCCCCAATCACCATCTTTTAAAATGTCTGCACAACAGTTTGTGTCTCAGTGTGCAAATGTGTCTTCAGACAAACATCATGGGAGAAGGAGTGGAGGGGAATGTCTTGGGGGTGAAGTGGGTTTAATGTGGTGTTAGGCTATCACTCTGTAGTATAACATAAGCAGATCTACCAGGCAATGAGGTACTTATGTAGTAAGCACTATTTCATGCAGTTGGACCAGGAGCAGACCAGCCTTCTTTTATAGAGAGGGACAGACGTGTCTAAGTTTTCAGGGAGCAAATTAGAGCATTATGTAGATGCTACTGGTGTTTGCTGTTGTGTGTCCAAACTCTTAGTGTCATCTTAGGACCTTCACCTGAATGCAACTCTGTCTTAAGGTTGTTGCTATGGGACAGATCTTAAATATTTAAATAAAGTACAACTTGCTATATAATGACTTTCTGCTATATTGGGGATGTCAAA